GCGGATTGTCTTTATTACGAACTTTTGGAACTCGGAACGAATCAGGACTAAGGGAACGGATTACGGACTGTATTAGGAAGACAGTTGTTGGAAGAAACGCCATGGATCGGAGGACAGTAAAGTGTGGTGTAAGTACGACCTTCGTTTACATAAACTATTCCCCCCGAGACACCACAATACGTACTGTACATCATTTGTTTTTTCTCATTTGGTATTGATCATTTTGTGTTGTGGATGTTATATTCACCCAGCATTACTAACAGATGAATTTTAAATGCATGTTATTTTTCCAGATCTTTATTTACGTCTTGTATAGTATAACACATTAATTCACATTAAAATGCTGAAAGATTAAGTCCATCCAAACAGCTGTGTGTCTGTGTATACAAGTGTCAGATAAGTGTGTCAGAGCTGTGATGGGGCGTCTTGCAGACAGGCTGGTGTCCCAGGCCCTGCTGAGCCAAGAGCTGAGCCCAGAGAAGAGCCCCCTGAGCCAGCTGGTCCTGAGGCTCACTGACCTGAGCCACACCGACACCAGCCAGCCTCAGGACAGCACTGCTAGAATCAAACAGATCACAGATCACAGATCACAGATCACAGATCACAGATCACACACACACAGAGAGAGGAGCCCAAAGAAGAGCCCCCTGAGCCAGCTGGTCCTGAGGCTCACTGGCCCGAGCCGTGCCACAGTGACACCAGCCAGCCTCAGCACTACAACCGAGGCAGGACGAAGAGTGATGGAGAGCAAGCGAGAGGAGCAGCAATGGTGATCAGGACTGGGCAGGAAGAGAGCGCAGCTTTCGGGGCAGGAGCAGACGGGGGGCTGAGCTGGTTTAGAAATTGGAGCCACTGGCTCAGCGATGGACAGCAGACTGGTTAGTGACTGGGGGCTGGAGTCATTCAGGTGAATCTAGATCAGGATAGACCTGGAGTCATTCAGGCGGATCTAGATCAGGATAGATCTGGAGTCATTCAGGCGGATCTAGATCAGGATAGA